TCAGATAAATAATAATTATCAGTAATTTAAACCATATTAAATCCTATAATTATTGAACGTTTTTTGTATATTTATGGAGAAAGAAAATTTCATTTGCACACACGTATCTTGTTAATTAAAACCTAACTTATTTTCAGTATCAGAAAAAGCTAAACTACAATTTTTTTCTTCTTCTTAATTAGCAATAATTTGTCAATGCCGGAACAAACGGAAACGAATGCTAATAGTATTCATATACCCACAAAATAATGCGGATATTTTCGTACTGGTTGTTGATTCTATTAATTTTTATTTTTCATCGGATTGAATTACAACTGTAACACATGTTCTGAAGCTGTTAAGATCTTCTTTCTAGCAGGTTTCCTTCAATAATTAGACGATGGTTTTTCTTTTTATCTTTTCCCTTTTTAATGAGGCTCAATTAGTGGAATTTTTATAGCTTGTTTGTTCTGTTGAAATCGTGAAGGATAGTAGTATGCCTTTTGATTATGCTGCCTACCTCATATGCATAATGTATCTTTTCATCTTGTGTTTTCCATTGATAAAAGAACTCGGAATGAATTCAGGTTTTTATCATCTTTTCTTTGCAGTCAGCTGTCAAAAGATAGGTTGTGTGAATGGTTTTAAAAATCATTTATGAAAACGAGATCAAAGATACCCGTAAAACATTCTGAAAACGTTCGAGAAAAACTGTTCTGAGTTATTTATATTCTTTATCACAATTAGCGTAACAAATACGTTTACGATTTGAAAAAAATGGCGGCTGTTTTTGATATTTTTTCTTATTTTCCTTCCTAAATTGAATGATTATTATTATTATTTATTTTTAGTTTTTGTTTACTGTTAGCGAACGAAAAGAACGTTTTACAGTGGAAAAGTAGTTATTTTAACGACAGATTTTTTTAATCCTCTGAAATTAACGATTGATATAAATTGATTCTGTCAGATATCAAATTTACCTATTTTAATTCTGAATTCTCTATTTAAATTATATTCCATTGTTAAAATGATCCCCCCCCCTTAAATGACCGAATTCCGTTTGATTGCTGAATGATATCGTATTATTTCATTTTGTATTCATGATCGATTTGTCAACTCTTTTGTTTTAGGGTTTGACGTTTGATTGTTGCAAATATTACTTTTGGATTCTTTGAAACCTGAAATTTAAAAAAAAAACTGTTTAATCAAAGCTTTTTGTGTATTGTTTAATATATTTTTATTGATAGAAGTGACAGTATTTATAAGATAAGATTTCAGCGCAGTTGAAAGCTGTATAATTTTTATACTGTTAGTTTTTATTTTTACGTGTAGAATTTCGTGTTTCGTTTGAATAAAAATTGTAATGACATTCATTCTGACGGCTGAACCAGAAAAAAGCCTTTGTTTTCATCGTTGTCATTCTCCTTTTCAGTTTCTGAACAAAAAGAAAATAGAAAGTTACCACGATATATTAGTTGCAGAAAATTTTTCTGGGTTCTTAAATAAAGAATATATAAATCTAAAAATAGACGATATACATTATTAATTTTTAATTTATTGATCAGAATTTTTCGGTGTTAGTAATTAATATTAGAATTATTTTATGATTTTTGAAGTATTCTGACATTGTGAGGATATGTGCTGTTATACGAACATTGATTTAAAACATTTTTTTTTCTTCTGTTTTTGTATTTGTCAATATCAGTTTTTCGTCAATAAATGCAGAAGATTGTTTTTCACAATAATATGTAATAATATTACACAATAACAAAAATTCCGAAAACGACAGAATATTTTTATTAATTTCTCTCTTATCTTGGTACAATCTAAAACCAGCTGTCTTAAGATCATAATCTGTCGAGACTTAAAGCCCTCACGTTTGAATGGTATGGAAGATTGGAAAGTAGGATTCCAGCTCCGGGTGTCATCCTCGTCGCAATGATTCAAAATTACGATATCCGACGCCAATAGTCTTCATGTTGCTTCGATTGATTGTTTATTGACGTCACATTCGAAAGCTACGCAAAGACTATATTGGTGACGAATTCTTCAATTTGAACCACGGTCAAATGACGAGAACGATATCCGAGCGGTCATCCTCTTTCAAATTTCTACACCAGACAACATGGAGAGAATCTTACAACAGATTTAACATGCATCACACATACATACATCCCTCTAAACCAGTGGTTCCCAAACTTTTTTAACCCATGGACCCCTTCTTATAGTCAAAATTTGCCCACGGACCCCTTTTTAAAGTCTAAACTTTTCCAAGTGAAAAAGCATAGTATGCATAGTAAATGCATAGTATAAAAATTACAAATAAAAAAACATTTTTTTGTTTTGTTGAAAATTATTTATTACAATTATAACTTTTGTTTAAAATAAAATTTTAAAAAAAATTAATGACTTAAATGAATTTGATGAGATGTTATGAGAGTGTATTTATGTCCGTCTATATGTTTGTGAGTAGCAACCGCAAATCTCCACGAGCACTAGTTTTCAATCGGTTTCTTTTGTGTTTTGTGTGTGTGTGTGTGTGTGTGTGTGTGATGAGGCTTTTTACGGTACTGTGAATCCACGTTCTACTAAATTGAAAGATGGGAAAGTAGTTAACAGCTTTTGTAAAATAACCCATACTACAGGATATCAATTTGAGATCTGTTTTCGTAACCAGAATGTGTGGTATCCTTGTTCAAACATTGGTTTAAGTCCCTGATTTTTGTGGATATTTCAATAAGATACCCCTGTATTAGTATGGATTCATCTGTGTTTGGGATCTGAGTTAGACGACGTGCAAAAAGGGTTCAACACCCAGCCGGAAATATCCAAGTGAATTATTGTTATTTATTTAAATTTCCATAAAAATAAAAATGAATCAAAATTTTTGCGCAAAAACCTTTCGCGGACTCCTTGACGTTGTTCAGGGACCCCCAAATCAATTTTAATTTTCCACGTGCTTCCTGAACAATATCGAGAACCCCTGGGATTCATAGGGACCACTTTGGGAACCACTGCTCTAAACAACGGGTCTTTGTGTTGTCTCGATTGATTGAATATTAACGTCGCACTGTTCAGCTACATGAGGGCTTTTGGCGACGGACCACGTAATTTTGAACCATGGTCAAGTGACGTGGACGACACCTGAGCTGGCACCTCTCCTAACTAACACAACACACCAACGGGAGGACGTTTCAGCTCTACAGATTTAACGTGATCCGCTTTAGCACAACGGCAGGGTCTTTAGTGGTACTGGGTAACTCGTGACAAGGCAAGTCTACGATCCGATACAATACCACTCGGCTACGCGGCCTGTAGTGTTATTCGAAGTCCTTCGAATATTTAAATTGATCGATAAATCTCATTTCTGAGAGATGAGATTGAATTTCTGTATACAAAAATGTTAGTTTCATATTTCGTCTCATGTTTCGTATGGTTATATTTTTCTATATTTCTATACTTTAAGGTGTTAAAAATATTTTAAAAAATTTAAAATGTGCAGTTTCTTAAGCGAAAACAACCTTAAAGTAATTTTTCATATAGCATTAGTATAAAAAAAAATAAGTCTAGAGTTATCTAGTGTTTGAGATGCATTACTAGATGATAGTTGGTTGACGATATTTTGATGATAATTCCTACAACCTTAGGAAATGTTAAGTGTGAAGGATAAGATGTTTTTGTAGAGTGAGCCTCAACCTCGCCACTTTTCTGTTTAAAATTGAACAGTCTGTTACTAAAGTTACACAAAATATTGTTTTCCACTAAAATAAATAAATAAATATTTTAATTAATATTTTTTAATAATTTTCTTAAAATTGATACATTAAAAAGTCACAATTGCAAATATAATTTTTTCTTTTTGGCAAATTTCTATTGTATTACGATTTTAGAGAATTTTAATGAAGAAAAAAAAAATAATATTATAACTCCGATGGGGATGAATGAATGAATAATGCTACAGATATAGTTTCGTAGTAAAATGTTTGTTGAAATCTAGTAAAATTGCGTTATATATATTTTTTTAAAAAATAATTTTCATAAAAAACGATACTTGTTTTGATTTTTTAAAAATATTTTGATCCAGTTAAAATTTACTTTTGAATCAAGCGAAATAGTAAATATTTTTACCAATTTTTTATCATAATAATTTCGAATGCAACGATTATAATCCACGAATTGCTGTGAGATTTTCTGAATCAACATTTATTCATTTATTATTTTGATCCATTCCTTTTTTTTTTATTCACTTTCTCTTTCAAACATAAAATTATTTGTTCATTTTCACACATTTGAAAACGATAATATTAAAAAATAACCAAATACCTAAAAATGCAGTGAAGTAATGTTTATCTAAAAACAAGAACTCTTTCGGTTTCACGGCGATTGAAGTAAACATTTATTTTCAAATGCCTTAAAACTCTTTTCTCAATGTTATCTTTCTAAATAATATGATTTCTTTTATACTTTTTTCTATCCTTAAAATAAACAATTTTATTTCCCAAGATGATTTGATATGTAAATTACATATAGCTGGCTTTGTTTAAAAAAAAATTAGCTTGTGCCGCATAATTTTAGACGTTTAACATTTCAATTAACATTCCATCATTCCGACTCTAAAACACATTTAACATTTTCTCAAGAAAAATTATTGTAATTTGTTCAATATTTGTAATTCAATATTTAACGAAATTTTCTTATATTTTATGAAGCTTTTGATTCCATTTTCTTTTTCAATTCTTACTATAAGTTCACACTCTCCCTATATATATATATATATATATATATATATATATATATATATATATATATACCTTGTTCAAATTTTCAATTGTTAGAAAATACTTTTTATTCATCCACTCAAGCTCAAATACAATTTTTTAAAATTGTAGTGGATGACACTTGATGTTAATACAGTTTTTTTCAAATATTTTAATTCATTAATTAAATTAAAAAATGAATTAACAGCAGCAAACAAAAATAATAGTTCAACACTAAATATAAAAAGGAAAATCACTTATTGTGTTCCTGTAGCGCGATGGATAGCGCGTTGGACTTATGATCCAAAGGTCGTGGGTTCGAATCCCACCCGGGGATGAACTAATTTTTAAGAATGTAATTTCTTTCTACCATGCTATTTTATTCGAATAATTAAATTTAATTTCCGAACAAATATATTAACAAAAACAAAAATAATAATCCAACTCCATTTATAGAAAGGAAAATAGAAAATCGCTTTCTATTTTGCCACTTAATATGATGATTTTGTCATATGTATATAATATTTATGTCAATTGTTACTATTTAATAAAAAGTAACTAAAATAAAAAATTTCTTTGTTGAACTAAGTAGGAATTGACTTTAAAAAAATTATATATTACTGGTTAAATTATAAATTGTGTTGAAAAAGAATCATTTCTCTTACCATCTTCTAGTTAATTATTAAATTTCATAATTATTGCTTAATAGTTTTTGATGTAATGTTATAAACTGTCATTTTAAATAATTTTGGCATAAATTTATTAAAAAAAAAATTATTTAGATTGTGTAGTTAAAAGTGGATTAAAGAATGGCTTATAAAATTTTATTAGACTGTGAATCTTTATACAATTCTGCATGTCTCAAATTGAAATTCTTTTTATTTGTAATGTTAGTTACAGAAATTTGATATTTAAATTTTTTGTTTTAATTAATTATTTTAAAATAGTGTTCTTAAAAGTGTTTAAAATAGTGTTCTTATGATATTTATGTGTTGTATTTTTCTTTTTTTTTAGTTTATAGAAATAAATTCTAATTACATTTGCGTTAAAAAATTTTTTTAATTTTATCTAGTAATGAAAAAATATATCGTATTTCGTTCTTTTTTTCTGAAGTTTTTCTTTAAGAAACTCATTTAAAAATTTTTAAAAAGTTGGGGAAAGAAATCGAAAGTAAAATAGAATTAAAAAATTAAATAAAAAGCTACTGAATTAGTAAGTCAAATGAAAAATGAACACAATCGTTAATTCGCGTCTAAAAATATTACTTTTTCCCTAAAGGTGATATAGTACTTTTAATGTGTAATTGTAAGTTTAAATTTTATCCCTATTTAACATTTTCATAGGTAAAATGTATCTATACGGGATGAATTTGTTATTTTATTACATAATTTTGCTCAGTTTTTTCTGTAACGTTGGTCTGTAAATTAATTCTGAAACAAAAACTTGCATGAGTTAAGATTTGGAGAACATGGTGGCCATGACATTCGAGAGGGGTGAATAATTATCTCGTCAAGTGGTCTTCGTCAAGAAAAAATCGCTAGATTTAGATTTTAAATAAAAACACCTCTCTTTATTGTGTGTTCTGCATATACGCAGTTAGCTTAAAATTCAAACCATTTGGAGACTTTTTAATTCTATTTAAAACCCATTACAGAATTACTATTGATGTTTGTTTTTTACTGAAGTATGTTTGTTTTGCAATTAGGAGCTTTTTTTATATTGCGATGTTATTACTATTATTTCCTAGTATTTTAGACTGATTATTTCGTTTTATAAATTCTGATTTTCAATATTCATGTTGCATGTTAGTGAGGACAGTCCTTCTTTTATAGGTTCTGTCCTTCCATGAACATATTTCAGCTGCAAAAGTTAATTTTATTTTCAACGATTTTGTCCTTCAATAAAAATCAATTCGAAGAAAAATTTATTTCCCTTTAATAATAATAAGAAAATTGTCAAAATTCCGGGCATAACGGAAAAGTTTTCCAAAGAAAGGAAGAATTTTAACCAAACATGTTTCCAATATTTCGAAGAATGGTTTGAAACAAATATAACAGGAAATAACAGTTTTCAGCGGTGTTTTTTGACTTAAAGTAAATTGGGCAGACATAGAAAACTGTGTTGATACTTTGGCCGTAGTACTTATCGTAAAGTTCAATATGAAGGATATTACTTGCTTCTAAATTTTCCATACTTAAAAATGAGATAGGGACAAAAAAAATCCTTCAATGGGAAAAATATTTGTTTGAGTAAATGATTAAAAGGGATGCAAGTGTAATTAGTGTATTTTTGTTTGGATTTATAAAAGGTTTCGCTTATTTACGTTGTAATTTTTTTGTAATTGTATCGCCCCCCTTTTCATTGTAAACAAGTAATAAAAAGTTGTTTTTTTTAAAATTGAACTAGTATTGATTTTAAAAATGATTATTTTTTTTTATAAAGGTGGAACGAATTTCCATGCAAACTGTGAAAAAAATGACAAAAAAAGAATGTGGTTTAAGTGTTTTAAAATTGTGCAAGCAATCAAAATAATAATTCTTTTTAAAAAATGTATAGTTATTACAATTTTCTCTTTTTATACAAACGTAACCCATTACAAGTAATAAAAAAAATTAAGTCAATTCCTGGTCAACAAAGAAAGTTTTTTAATATAGTTATTTTTAATTAAATAGTTACAATTAATATAAATATCTATATACATATGACAGAATCAATATTAAGTGACAAAATAGAAAGCGATTTTCCTTGTAATTTTCCATTTCCTTTCTGTGTAGGGTATTGGACTATTTATTTTATTTTTTTTTGTTACTTTTTATTCATTCATTAAATTTAATTTTTCTAATAAAATAGTATAGTAAAAGGAAATTACATTCTCAGAAATTAGGCCATCCCAGGTGGGATTCTAACCCACGACCTTTGGATTAAAAGTCCAACGCGACCCATTGCGGCACAGAAACACAACGAACGATTTTTCTTTCTATATATGGTGTTGGACTATTATTTTTGTTTGTTACTATTTATTCATTTTTTTAAATTTAATTAATTAATTAATATTTGAAAAAAACTGTACTAACATCAAGTGTCATCCATTACAAGCTTTAAAAAAATGTATTTGAACTTAAATGGATGAATAAAAAGTATTTTATTAACGTTGAAAATTTGAACAAGATATATATATATATATTCAACGTTAATAAAATACTTTTTATTCATCCATTTAAGTTCAAATACATTTTTTTAAAGCTTGTAATGGATGACACTTGATGTTAGTACAGTTTTTTGTAGAGAATAAGACTATATATATATATAGCCTTATTCTCTACAAACAAGAGGTAAACTTCCAACAATCACATTCGAAAAACACATAGACAGCAGGAAAATGACACAATGAAGGACACATGAGCAACCGAAATTAAAATTATAAAATGGATGCTGCAGTATTATTATAAACATTGCTGATTTAAGACAGCTAATATATAAGATAATTTATATAAAAGTGGGGTTGAACATGTTTTTGGCCATTCAACCCCTTCCCCCTTTATGTAAATAATACTGAGCAAAAACCTATTGAAAGAAATGGATATGAATATCTAAATCCATTACAATATAGAGGTAACTTACCTAAAAATTGCACTTAAAAATGCAAATACCGTGCTAAATCTGAGTGCAGTAAATAAGTTATTGCCAGATTCTGGACCCATATATATATATATGTGTGTGTGTGTAAATAAATATATATAGGGAGAGGGTGAACTAATAGAAGGAATTGAAAAAATTGGTTTCCTTATTAAATCAGAAACTTATTCGATTTTTTTTAAAACCCTGAGACGGAATGAGAAAAAAATTCAAAGAGAAATCGCTTAATAGCAGCGTTCAATTAAGAAACGCCCCCTTTCCTCCAACACTCAAATTCACCTCGTGACACCATAGCAGCTAAGTTGGTGATTGAGCGTCCATTCAAATCCTTTTCGCAACACAATATAACTAATGGCAAGAAAATTAATTTCGTATTATTACTTATTCATATATAAGTCACAGTTGGATACCTTAAATAGAAGTGGAGGAAACAATAGACGGGGGGACATCTGCAGCATTGACAGTTCCATCAGTTTGAAGCAACAGTATTTGCTTATCCCAGCGCAAGGGAACGTTTCTGTGCTTGTTTTAGCAACTTCGTTTTTAACAATCTCTTGTAATTGTTTTAGCACCGAGTAGTCAGGATTTATTAACTTTTTTTTTGAAGCGTCAACAGAGGGAGTGATGACCTTGAGATAGAGAGTGTCTTGAATTCCTCTAAGATATTTTTCTTTAAAAAAAGAAAAGGGTTTCCAGTACCGTATTTTTTTATAAGAAAGTGTTATCAATTTGTAATAAAAGAATTACATTGTAGACTAGAACTGAATGAATATGCTCTATTAATAATTGTTGTAAATAATTGCAGTAAATTTATGAAGCAATCCCATTTTAGAGTCTTGATCCTTTGATCTAAACATGCTTATCTTGTAAAAATTGTGGACAGAATGTCATTTCATATAAATTCAGAAATGTACAGAAAACAATATTTTTCATAAGTATTTATTTAGCTTGTCATGTAAGATAATAGTTAAATTTTTTAAAAAAAAAACTGCAATCAATTTATTTAATGTATTACTTAATAAATGTACTTTTTCTTTATATCATTCTCTTATGTTCCCCTTTTTTTCTCCTTTTTTTTAAAAAAAAGAAAAAAAAGAAAGAAAAGCTTATACTGTTAATAGGACGCATAATATAATTTTATACATGCTGCTTGTAACCTTATAATTGTGATATAAATATTGCTAACTGTAAAAAGTTGCTAAATATGACTTGAAAGTAAGAGAAAATGTTCTTAAAGTGAAATACTACGTAAAAAAGTATATAAGAAATTTTTATTAAAAAATTATCAATATTCTTATCGTAGTAAGACAAAAAGTCAACGCAAAGATTCTAGAATGAAAATGATTGCCAAGAAGAACTAATTATTGTTGACTTTGATAATCTTGACCCAGTGGCGTACACAAGATGGTTTGGGGATTTAACCTCCCCCGTGGACCAAAAGATTTTTAATTTTTTATCATAAAGATTGCGTCTTGGCGTTTTCGTCTACGTTTTTTTTTTTTAAATATAACCCTCCGCTACCTATGCGTTACTCAAACAAAAATCTACTTGAAGTAAAGTTTTAACATTTATTATAATTGAATGCATAGCACCTCGCGTAATTTTCTCTCTCTCTCTCTTCCACGATATTTAGCTAGTAAAGACCCGCCGTGTAGAGAAGATAATGAGTGTTAAAACTATTGAAGTTCAAAGTCCTCATGTG